ACTCGCCTACGTGAAGTCCGAGCTGCAGAAGAGACATACGTGCACTGACCTGGGTGAACTGCGTAGCTACCTTGGCTTGCAGATCACCCGGGACAGAGCGCGCCGCACCATTACCCTGACTCAGTCACACATGGTGCAGCAGGTCCTTCAGCGCTTCGGCTTCACGTACTCCTCGCCTCAGGCCACTCCTCTGCCTACTCGCCACTCGCTCTCAGCTCTGCCTTCGGATGAGTCCGTAGAGTCGAGTGGCCCGTTTGCAGAGCTTGTTGGCTGCCTCATGTACCTGATGACCTGCACACGTCCTGACCTTGCATACCCTCTTAGCATTCTCGCACGCTATGTTGCTCCTGGGAGACACCGACCAGAGCACATGGCTGCAGCGAAGAGGGTGTTGCGTTACTTGTGCAGTACGTCGGGCATGGGGCTAGTGCTTGGAGGGCGCAGTCCAGTGGTCCTCACTGGGCACGCAGACGCTTCCTGGGCTGACGACCAGGCTACGCAGCGGTCGTCACAGGGTTACACCTTCAGCCTTGGTTCCGGCTCTGTTTCGTGGCGGGCTACTCGCTCGTCTTCTGTTCTCGGCTCCAGTTGTGAGGCTGAGATCTACGCTGGGGCTATGGCTGCACAGGAGTTACGCTGGCTCACCTACCTGCTGACCGACCTTGGAGAGCAGCCTCGTTCTCCTCCAGTCCTGTACGTAGACAACAAGGCCATGCTGGCCTTGTGTCGAGAGCAGCGACTGGAGCACAGAACGAAGCACATTGCCCTCCGCTACTTTCTTGCTCGTGAGCTGCAGCAGCGTGGACAGTTGCGACTTGCGTACGTGGCCTCTGAGGCCAACACTGCTGATGTCTTCACTAAGGCACTTGCGCCTTGTGATCGTCAGCGTTGCTGCACGCAGTTGGGTCTTGTGTCTGTCTTGCCTCACTTGCTCACTTCTTGACCTTGCTTGTACCTTCATCTATATATACTCTTGCTCTTACTTGCTTGACTCTTGTATATCTTTATATATGATCTTGCATGTGAACTGGCCTTCTGGCCTTTTGAACTTGTGCTCGGAATGTGTGGTGACTTTGTGATCCACCCTGAGCTTTGCTTTGCTTTACTTGACTGGTCTTGTGACCCCTTGTTCTCCCCCACTTTGCCTATGGGGGTGTGTCAGAACATTATAGCTTACTCATTTATGTAGGCTATAGTGGGGTATCCCATAGGGGGTACAACCCAGTTAGGGTTTCCTATTTGTACTCACTTCGTTCATAGTTCACCCATTCTCTCGTTCACTTCTTCTCACGGAAATAACGCACGTTTAACGTCGCGACAGCTACAGCTGTCCGTTGCCCGGGGGGAGGGAGGCCACGGTCGATCGCGACCGTTCGAGCCAAGGATCTGGCGGTGCCGAAGGAGTGCCCGTAAAAACATCGCCGCAAGGAGCAACTAACTAGTTCTCCTGGCCGGCCTACGCAACTCCTGGACCCCAAAGCATCCTTCCTCGTCCCCCCCCCGGAGGGGTATTACACTCTAAAAAACGGGGTGAGCTAGGAAAGTAGCTCTGATACCAGGTGTTATGAATGAACTTGCAGAGTGCGCAGTAAAACGAATATCGAGAATGATCTGAATCAAGTTGTTCAATACAATGAGGAGAGCACGACTAAATAGGGGAAGTCCTAGCTAGGCGGAGAGGTTGGGCGAGGGTGGCTCGGTGATGGTTGCGATTGGTGCGGAGGCGACTCGGGAGTGGTTCGGTGCGACGAAATAGGAAGGACAGGTTCGTCGCGTGACCCTCGGGATGGCCTCGCTAACGAGTGCCTCAGTAAGGATTCTGTAAATCCTTACAACTCGCAACTCTCGCATCGACAATCCTCCCGCCACCTTCGCACGTAGCACCCCGACCTCACGGCTCGGCGGGTAACCCGCGCTCCGGGCCTCCGCTTTGACACTTTTCCCAACCTCAGTCCCAGGCCCGTCACGCGACAACCACAGTCCATTACTGTTACCACTGTAGTTTCGCTATATATTCTTCCCTCATACCTTCGCTCATTGTACTCTTGCTTCGATAGTGCAATTCTCGCTCGCTCACTCAATTGCACTCGTAACTCATGCACGCACTAGATGCAACATACGGTAAGTAGCGGTTCAAAGTGGTGAAGCGGTAAGCCTAACGGGGATCCCACATTATCGTACTCAACAGCATGAGCTGAATGAGACTTGCCCTCACCTCGGCGGTGTTCGCCAGCACATTTCTAAGCAAAAACGAGGGGATGACGACGGGATCAGGAAGGTAGGTCTCGCCTTCCCTATCCCGTCAGTTAGGCTTCGTTAACCTCCGTCAGCCTGGTCAGCCCGTATAAATGCTGCCGAGCCTCTTATGCCGTCCGAGCCTCTTAGAAAAGTGAGGGCATGGCGAACGCCCCCAATTTTCACCCATTTCGAAATGCTTGACCGCATATGGAAACGGGGTCGCAGTTTCCTCCCCTGGCAAAAGCCATCCCCCTGCGATGCCATCGCCATTCACCTATGCACGGTGAATGGCGATGGCATGGCTGTGGCATTGCACGGCAGAGGGTAACAACGGAAGGTGGGGCTGGGGGCTCCATATGCGGTTGCGAATTTTCCCGTTTTGGGAATCGAAGTTTCGCGGACCGCATTACGCCCAGACCTCTTGGGCGGGTTCCGCCCCCGTTTCCAGATGCGGTCACCATGCCGATGCCGTCAAAATGCCATCTATTTTCGAATGTGCTGGCGAACACCGCCCTCATCTTGTTCCAAGTTAGTTTCTTGTTATCCAGAGTGCTCCATTCCTCCTGTCCCAGCGACCACCAACGAATGCCAGTATCGTGGCAGAATATCACCAGCATTTCTAGCATTTCAGGCTTGCTTCCCTATCTCCCGCGCCTTCTACTATCAGCGAGAAACAAAGATATTGAGTATCAAAAGAAAATTGTTTTTTTCTTTTTTGCCGCGTTCCAGGCCAGGCGTGCACTGGTGGTTTAGCGGGATATAGGGCTAGTGTCTTCTCTTCACCCGCGCACTTTCCTCTTCACGCTTAGACTCGTCTCCCGCAGCGCGCCCACCTGCCATGGCGTCTGCGCCAGCGTTTGTCCCCTCTGCCACGCACTACGCGCGGAATCTCCGCCACTCAGCACCAGCTTCCGCCAGCCGCCTTACATTTGCGCCCGCCGCTGCTTCACCCGCCCCTACGGCGCGCGCGGCGACGGCGCCCCGCGTTGCAGCGATTGGCCGGCCGGCTGCGCCGACTCCGCGGTCGGGTCTTGCTTCTTCCGCGGAGGGCGCAGATTTCCGCCTTTCCTCGGACAGGTGCCGGCAGGCAGAGAGGGATGGCCGGCTGGGGGGTACGGAGTAGCGGAATGTGGGGGAGGGGAATGATGAAAGGGGAGTGAAGAAGGGGGGTGGTGAATAGGGAATTGGGGAAGGGAAAGGGAGTTTTAAGGCTGGGGAAGAAAATGTGGGCAGGGAAGCTTTCGAATTGTTTGTTTTCAACGTTTTCTTCTGCCCGGCCTGCCTATCAGTGGTCATAATTTTGTGTTTGCCATGTAACTCTTAAACCCTTAATTCTCAACCCTCTACATCTCATACATGTACGTGCGTGCGTGCGTGTGTGTGCGTGCGTGTGTGTGCGTGTGTGTGTGTGTGCGTGCGTGCGTGCGTGCTCATATCTTGTGTCATGTCATGGATGTACGTGTGTGCATGTGCATGTGCATGTGCATGTGCATGTGCATGTGCATGTGCATGTGCTGGCCCATGTTCATGCAGGTATGCCCAGTTGTCCGCATGCACGTCGTCGTACCACTCCAGACTCACTCTCTCCTCCGTTTGCCCTGCCGCCACCACCAATATCGCCACTACCAGCGTCACCACCAGCTCTCCCAGAAACCCCAAACCCCCCTCTCTCGAACCAATCCGCAGCACCAGCAGCAGCAGCACGGGTCGTGCCTTCTCTGGTGTAGCAACGCACATTCCTGACCCTGCAGCAGCGCATGGTGCGAGGGGAGGACACAGCTGCTGCTTGGGTAGACAGAACAAGCCGGATCATCGTCAGCACCTGCACCAGCAGCAGCGCCGTCATTCACATTACCACCGGCGTTCGTCACACGCTCATGCCCATGATAGCCAGCAGCAGACGTGGCGAGGGGAGGAGGAGGATGAGTGTGCGGAGCTCAGTTCAGGAGAGGAGGGGAGTGGGGCTTACACGCACATACACTCACTCTCCCACTCCGGTGATTGTAACGGTTCTGCCGCCTCAGAGGCACACTCACACTCACTTTCACACTCACACTCACTGTCCCCTCCACAAGCATTCTCCCAGCACCAACACCACCAGCAGCAGCAGCACTCGGCAACCCACACCGGGCATGAGGTCCAGAAAACAGCAGCGGCAGCATCAGCAGCAGAAGGAACAACAGCAGCTGCAACAGCAGCAGCAGCAGCATTACGTGAGAGGGAAGGCAGAGAGGCCGACGGGGCAGCAGCAGCGCCACGGCCGCGGTGGCGCCGGGTGCTGCTGAAAGTCAGTGGCGAGGCGCTGGCAGGCGATGGCTCCTCCAACATTGATGCCCAGGTGGGGATGGTGGGGGTGGAGGAATGGGGTTGGGGGTGGTTGGGGATGGGGATGGGAATGGGTGGATGGGATGGGATGGGATGGGATGGGATGGGATGGGATGGGATAGAAGGTTACTTAATTTTTGAAGCCAGCTTTTTGCCAGCAACATGTTTTGACTGCACTTCCCCTTGCCCCCCTCCCTTCCCAACCCCTCCCTTCCCAACCCCCGACCCCTGCCACCCCTTTCCCATTCCCTTCCCTCCGGCATCCCGTCTCCTCGCATTTCGTTCTCAGATCCTGCTTTTGTCATCTGCACCACCACCACCCCTGCCTTCCTTCCCCGTGCCCTACCCTCTGGCATCTCATCTCATCTCATCTCATCTCATCTCATCTCCTCATATGGCCAGCATTGCTTGGGGCCTATTCTAGAGACGAATATAAAATGGACATCTGCACCTCCCTCCCGTCGGGCCGTCCCACCCTTCCCATTCCATCCTCCCCACCCTCCTCCTTCCCCCCTCTTTTCCTCTCCCCCCTTCCCCCCCCCCCACACGCTGCGTGTGTCCGTCCGTCTGGCCGGTCATGGCAGATTCTCACCAGTATTGCGCGGGAAGTGGCCCATATTAGCCGCAGAGGCGTGCAGGTGAGGAACGATTGGGGGGAGGGGGTTGGGGAAGGAGCGGGAGGAAGGAGGGAAGGGAAAGGGGGGTGGGGGAAGGGAGGGAGTGGGGGGGAGGGGAGTGGCGAGGAATGGAGAGAGAATGAGAGAGGGGAAGGCTGGTTGGGTTGTGGTGAATGTGATGTGACGTCTGGTGAAACTCCAGTGATTGTTTCTTCGTTTGGGTAGCAGTGGCAACGGTGTCTGCTGTTGCGTGAGTGCGTCGGGATATCGTCATCATATCGTCCAACCCAATCGCTGCCTTCTTCCTCCCCCGCACTCCCTCCCGTGCCTCCTCCCTTCCTACCTACCGTCCCTTCCATCCATCCCTCTGCAATCTCCCTCCTCTTCCCTCCCCCGCCCGCAGGTGGCGGTGGTGGTGGGAGGGGGCAACTTCTTCCAAGGGGCCAAGTGATCAGGCGTCTGTGGGCTCGACAGAATTCCCCCCTCTCTCACTCTTCTCCGTGCGTGGCATATCCCCTTTCTACCATCCGTTTGTTGCCTCCATCCCTTCACGCTCCTCCCTCACCTCACCGGGCGGCAGGTGGCAGTGGTGGTGGGAGGGGGCAACTTCTTCCGAGGGGCCAAGTGGTCGGGCGTCAGTGGGCTCGACAGGGCATCGGCAGACCACATAGGGTGGGTGGGAGGGCGGGTGGGCAGGCGGGTGGGCAGGCGGGTGGGCAGGCAGGTGGGCGGGCGGGTGGGGAGGCGGGTGGGCGGGCGGGTGGGCGGGCGGGCATACTCCCTGTGTACGAGGGCATACTCTCCTCTCCTGTGCGCACCTTCTCCTCTTCACAATTGCCCTCCCCGCCCGCCCGACCCCCACTTCCCCCTTCCACCCCAGCATGCTAGCAACGGTGATGAGCGGCATATTCCTGCAGCCGTTGTTGGAGAGCCCTCCCATGTCCGCCCTCCCCCCTCCATTCCCCCCATCCTTCCTACCATCTCTCCCTCCTCCTCCTCCCCTCCCCCTGCAACCCCCCCCTCCCCCACCCCTCGCAGCATGCTAGCGACGGTGATGAACGGCATATTCCTGCAGGCGTCGTTGGAGAGCGAGGGCGTGGCCACGCGTGTGCAGACGGCCTTCCGCATGAGCGAGGTGGCGGAGCCCTACATCCGCCGCCGCGCCGTGCGCCACCTTGAGAAGGGTCGTGTTGTGATCTTTGCTGCTGGCACCGGCAACCCTTTTTTTACCACGGATACCGCGGCTGCTTTGCGCGCGGCTGAGAGTAAGCTTCGGGAGTGCTTTGGGAGGGTGGGATCAGGGGTTGTTGGGTTGTGTGAAGTGAGTCAAAAGGCACTGGCAATGCAACCCTTTCTTATACATATGAATGAATGAATGAATGAATCCGCATGAGCGAGGTGGCGGAGCCCTACATCCGCCGCCGCGCCGTGCGCCACCTTAAGAAGGGCCGCGTTGTGATCTTCGCTGCCGGCACCGGCAACCCTTTCTTTACCACGGATACTGCTGCTGCGCTCCGGGCCGCTGAGAGTAAGTGTATGGGGGGGGGGAGGGGGGACTTGGGGTGGGGAAACAAGGGAATGTGGGGATGTCGCCACCTGGAGAAGTGCTGTGTGGTCATGTTCGTTGCCGGAACGAGCGACCTTTTCTTTACCACAGATACCACTGCTGCGCTCCGGGCCGCTTAGAGTGCGTTCTTGGGGTGCTTTAAGAGGGACGGATCAGTGATGGTTGGGATGTGGCTCCATTCCCTCTCACAGTCGACGCGGAGGTGGTTCTGAAGGCCACGAACGTGGGACGGGGAGTGTAAGACTCTCCTCCACCTCCGTGCCCCCGATTTCTGCTCCCCCTCCCCCCTCCTCCTCCCCTTCCTCCCACAACCATCACATTCTCTCTCCCCACTCTCCCTCCTCTACCCTCTCTCAACCCTCTCTCCCCTCCCTCCCCCGTCAACCCTCTTTCCCCTCTCAACCGTCCCTCGCCCCCAGTCGACGCGGAGGTGGTGCTCAAGGCCACGAACGTGGACGGCGTGTACGGCTCTCCTTGCACCTCAACCACCCGTCCCCCTGCCTTCCCCTCACGGGCCCCTTCTCCTTCTCCATCCCCGCTTGAACCCCCCAGTCGACGCGGAGGTGGTGCTCAAGGCCACGAACGTGGACGGAGTGTATGACTCGGACCCGCACAGCAACGAGCACGCGCGCCTGCTGCCACTGCTCTCCCACCGCGACGTCACTCTGCAGCAGCTGAGAGTCATGGACACCACTGCCATCACGCTCTGCCACGAAAATGGGCTACCAGGTGAGGGACACGCGGCCTGCCGTGCAATACGACTGGGTATTAACCAGGATGCATGCTTTGCTCTCTGCAGCAGCTGCAGCAGCTGCGAGTCATGGACACCACTGTCAACACATCACGCTCTGCCACGAGAATGGGCTACCAGGTGAGGGTCTCACACACTGGCATGCAATAAGACTGCGTGTGGGCCTGGATGAATGCTGTGCTCTCCCGTGGAGATTTATTCACGCTGGAGCAGCTGAGTGTCATGGACACCACTGCTGTCACGCTGTGCCATGAGAATGGGCTACCGGGTATGGGGGTCATTGTGTTGCTCTGCGACGAGATTCAATAGTTGGGTGGGAGAGTCATGGACACCACCACGGCCAACACACTGCCAAGAGAAGGGGTTGCCAGGTGAGGGTAACACGCACTGCCATGCAGTAAGGCTGGGTGTGGGGTCCATGCTGTGCCCTCTGCAGCAGCTGCAGCAGCTGTGGGTCATGGACACCCCAGCCAGCCAGCAGCACACTGTGCCTGCCACGAGAATAAATGGATTGCTTCGTGAGATTCAGGTGCCCTGCCATGCGAAGCCAAGTGACTGAATATGGGGCCGATGCTTTGCTCCCCCATGGGATTAGAATCCTGGGTGTGGGGTCACGTATACGCAGTGCCATGAGAATTGAATGCAGTGCCGGGTGAGACTCATGATCATGCCCTGCCACGAGTACGGTACAAACTGCTGCATGCCAATCGTCACTGCCGCCCGCTCTCTCTCCACCTGTTCCCACAACCACTCTTTCTCTCTCCCCGGCTCCCTGCTCCCGTCTCCCGCTCCCAATGGCCTCTTCCATTTCCCCTCTCTCCCCCTTTTCCCCCTCTGCCCCTCTCCCCTTTTCCCCACTCTCCCCCTCTCCCCCTCTCCCCTTTTCCCCACTCTCCCCCTCTCCCCCTTTCCCCCTCTTCCCCTCCTCCACCTGCCCCCTCTCCCCCTCTCTATCTCCCTCTTGCTGCGCAGTGGTCGTGTTCAACCTAACAGTGCCTGGCAATATTGTGCGTGCGCTCAGTGGCGAGCCTGTGGGAACTCTCATTCTTCCCTGATGTTTTCTCGTGCCGAGCTTCCTACGTACTTGGCCCCCTTGACCAACTACTTTCGTGTGTTCCCGTTGTTTTTTTTTTGGAAAATTGTGTTCGCCTGTTTACAAGCGCTAATTGCCTTTTCCAATTCTATCTGCTGGTTGTACCGTAGTATTTGTTTTCCCTAGACAGTGCACTGCATTTTCAAGTTTATTCACCTGCGTTCGTGTGGATGTGTTTGGGTGCTTTGAAACATTACTTGTTCTCACCCGAAGATGCTACACATGTTTGGCAAACAAAAAATGTACCTACTGAGCTACCCGAATCCGGGCCAATCTTAAAATGAGGGTACAGCAAGTCAGGTCCTCAAATGGTTGGGCTAAATGCCATTAACGCTGAAGCTTGAGTCTTTTTTTATTTGATTGTATTATTAGTCTGATCAAAGTGTACCCTTTGATCATCGTTTAGAGCACAACCTGGATATCGGGGTTCCTAAGTTCACTGAAGTGGAGGATTTGTTCCGCAATTTCAACGACACCATTGTTCGTGATTCGCCCGTTACCATTGTGACGCATGCTGTAATGAATATACATTCATTACTGAAGAGGTTGCTCCTGCCGATGACAGCCCGAACTTCGTGTCAGTTTGGGTTCGGCCTACACTTCGGCCCGAACCACTTTCCCGAGTCGCGCCGCACCAATCGCGACATTTCCAACCCATCCACGTCCCGAGGTCCTCGCCTAGCCCGGTTTCGACCCTATAAATGCATGTTCCTTTAGTCAATTGATGATTCAGTGATTCTGTAATTCGTTCTCTTTATAGAAGTCTTCCGCGCACTCTGTCTAGTAAAACTCATATCACTTGGTATCAGAGCTACTTCCCTAGCTTCCCCGTTTTTTAGAGTGTATTACACCTCGGGGGGGGGGGGGGGGGATAGGGAAGGATGCCGTGGTGACACGAGCAGCGCAAGAGCCGGCCAGGAGAAGGGGTAGTTGCTGCTAGCGGCCATGAATTTCAAGGCGCTCCTGCGGCACCGACGGATCCTTACCCTCGACGGTCGAGATGGACCGTAGCCTCCCTCCCCCCGGGTGGCGGATAGCTTTTGCTGTCGTCGCAACTAATGTGTAAGTAAGTTGCGTGCGTTTTCGGCATTTTCGGAGTTAATTTGCGTGGCAGCTGACTTCGACAGGATCTCCGTCAGTGCACGTCCGAAGATGTCTGAAGCAAGGCGTAGTGCGAGTTGCGTCGGCACGTGGTCGACAACTGCGCGCGACAATTTCGGAGCTTGCTGCGTGCGTCAAGTGGCGATGGGCGTCTTCGTCACGTTGCGCACGAGCTAGTGGAAGTCTTCGGCACGTGGCGCTTCGTCACTGTGCGCGAAGATTTCGGGTAGCAGCACGTGGAAAACGACTGCTGGTCGAGCAGCCAGGCGCAATGTGTGATTTGCGTTGAAAAAACCGACGGCGAGGAGAGGCGGCGTGGCGACTGCCCGAAGAAAGCAAGGGTCTACCGTCGTCCCGCCCGGGTGCGGCAGGTGTTGCTGCAGGAGGGTGCGTCGTGGGCGTCTTTCGACAGAGCGGCATAGTGTGGGACGGAAGTTCAAACCACCGAAAAGTTCGGAAAAGGCCGCCTACGACCAGACTGTTCCGGCTTGGGTGACTACTGTTTCTGGCACAATGTTCATCGGCGAAAATTTAGGAGCAACAGTGGCAGCCGATTCTGCACTTCACGCGGCACAGTTCCCTCCGGCCAGAGGTACCTGTGTTTGAAGACAGCCCAGTACACCACGGAACAACGATTCAGCACAGCGTTCAGATCCGCGAATTTCGGGGGTTCTACTGGCTATAATAAACGGAGTTGCGACTAATACGTGTCCGGCGAGAGAAACGGGTTCCGACTTCAGGAGGCATGAAACGACCTACAGCGACGACTTTTGCTGAGGCCGAGCGACTAAGCGTCGGTAGCAGAAGGAGCTCCCTACCGGCCAAGTCTACCAACGTTTCACGTACCTCACACCAGAAAAGTCTCGAAGGCAATTCGTAAGTCCTGTTGGCTACTGGATAAAAAAGTGGGGCCCTGTGTTTTAGCCCTGTGCTGGTTAGAGAGGCGTGGGTGGCGCTGGCTCGACGGCAGGGCGTACAATAAAACATTCTGTGGTGCGACACTGTTCGGCCCCGACAAAAACGGACCATCGGCGACAGTTACCCTGCCGAAAAAGTCGGGACTGAGAAAATTGTGGCAGCTGTCGGTGTTTCTCCTGATTCAACGGTCTACCCAACGGCGGTGTAGCAGCGAAGGTGGAGTTCCCGAAGCTGTGGAGTCTTTAAGTGCGATAGGCACGGTGAGCAGGGAAGCGGCCGGGCGGGCGTTTTGATACGAAACTAGCCCCGGCTACGATTGCGTTCGCGCCTTCATTGAAAGCCAAAAAAATCGCGGGTCAACACGAAGAATGTCACATCCGACAAAAGCGGACGCTGGGTGACGGCGGCATGCGAAATTGTCGGGGGGCGAAAGCAAAAAAAGGAGGGAAAGTTGTGGGTGCCGTTTCAAGCTACTGAGTGATAGGCGGAGCCCGACACCACTCCACCGCGAATTTCGGAGTCTATTCGGTAGACCCCCGAAAAAGTTTGATTTCGTTACATGGAGGCGCGGCAAGGGATGTATTGCCGAGGATGCCTGGGATTTGCTAAGTAGTTTGACAGGTACGAAGATGGGTGAACGTCGGAGTACCAGGATCAACGGCGGAAATGTCGGGGCTACAAGACAGAAAATACTTCGGGGCTTGATTCCTCAACCACGATTTTCGGGTGACATTTTCGACGGTGGGAGACAGGTGAACGTCTGCTCGCCAGTTGTTTTAAGCTTCACGGTGTACTTCAGGAGTTTACCTGGGGGAGTTCAACTGCGAGATCTGCGGCGTCGATGCGCGCTAGGGTCCGTGAAAATCGGTCTCGAAAGACCCAGAAGTACTGGGATCCACGCCAAAAAGCACCTCTTGTTGGTGGGTCACTTGGGGGGCTGACCGCACGAAAAAAATGGTGACCGGGTGGGCGTGCTAGAAACACCGGTTCTTTCGGGGGACAACCTGCAGGCGACCAAGATTTTACGTGGCTGGTTATGTCCGACATTTGCGGGTGGACCCAGCAGTTCCGTGAATGAGTCTTAACGGAGTCAGCGGGGTCGCTGACAGTATCCGTGCCGACGGCGGAGTTGCGGCGCTGCTTGATTAAGCGCGCGAAGGCACTCGTCGTCAAATGAATAGCCGTACAAATCGGAAGCTACTCGGGGGTACCAGCGACAAGATAGGTGAAAATTTGCAACAAGTGGAGGGAGGGGACGACAGCTGTTTTCGCCCCTGCCCGGATGAGTTCGGCGAGTCAGGACAACGCCGACAGTGCAGCTGACGTCATCGACAATTCAAGTTCGAAGTTGAAAAAAATATTTCGGTGGTCAGGGGAGGAACAGCAGCTGTTTTTCGCCTCTGCCCGGGAGTTTTCAGAGAATAACGACAAAGGTATCGGCGAGTTACGACAAAGCAGCCGGGGGTACAACGTCATACGCACCCGAGTTCGAGTTTTAATGGAGTTTGCAAAACTGACACTCGGTCAGTTACGTGATCCGCCCCTCTCGCCGAATGTCGCTGATGCGCTACAACGACTTCGTTTTTTTCGCGACGGTCCTCGTCGACGAACTTCAACGATCCGGAGTCACGACTGACGAAATTTTGGACTGGTTTCGGGACTTTTTATTAGCGACAAGGCGGCCATCAGGTTTGCGCCAGCGACAGAATCTGATTTCGGGTTGCAGCTGCTGACAGCTGGGGATTCTGCTGCAAACGAGACATTCGATTCTGCCACAGAAACAAGACAAACGGACAGCAATTTCGGCTTGCAGCTGCTGACAACTGGAGATACTGCAGCAGCATAATGATTCGATGCTGCCACGCGGAGATTTTTGGGTGGCAGTCCGTTTTCGAAGGTGGGGGGGAGAAAGAGCACTTGGCAGTATTCTGACAGCCTCGGCAGACCCTGACAGCACGATGAACGGTCGTTATCAATTCCACCGACATGACGGATTACTACTCATCGACCTCTGACAACGTGTCAGACTCCCCGCCCAGTATCGCGTCATCTTCACCGTCCGACTCATATCCGCTACATCGACGGCTTTCATGCACCTACGGATTTTCAACTTAACCTTCGTTTTCGACCGCCCGATCGCCATCGACGGCTGACATTCCAACTCTTTGAATTTCGCCTGGTCTACGTGCTCAGCCACGCGTCAACTCAAAAGTCAACGTGCTTCCGCACCGTCAGATCAATTTCGACCGAGATCTGCAGTTTCACGCTACTGCAAGACTCGTCTACATATATGGGGACCTTATCTAGAAGGTGGGAGAGTGTAATGAATACACATTATTTACTGAAGAGGCTGCTCCTAGCGAGGACAGCCCGAACTTCGTGTCAGTTTGGGTTCGGCCTACACTTCGGCCCGAACCACTTTCACGAGTCGCCCCGCACCAATCGCGACATTTCCCGAGGTCCTCGCCTAGCCCGGTTTCGACCCTATAAATGCATGTTCCTTTAGTCTATTGATGATTCAGTGATTCTGTAATTCGTTCACTCTATAGAAGTCTTCCGCGCACTCTGTCTAGTAAAACTCATAACACATGCGAAGTCAGTAACCACACACACTTCGACCCCACACTCAAACCCCACCCAAGTCACACGCCCTGAACTTGCGTCACTGTCTTGAAATTGATGCGAAGCAAATGCCATTGTCTCGAGCCGCGCCCTGTTGCGTTCTAGCCAATTTCCATGACCAGCCCCACGCGTTCCGCAAAGCAAGATAACAAGCGAGAATATACAAAGTCTAAAAAGCCGCAAAGTCACGGTGGCGACTGCTTGACCGCGTTGACCGGGGGGGACCGGCATGACTCCGCCGCGCCGATCAACGGAGAGCGCTCCCACTCCGCTGGCTCCGCGAGATCGGCGGGAGGCGGCGGCGGCGGCGGAGGCGGCGGAGGCGGCGGCGGGCATGACGCCACGCGGGGGGGTGTCTTGGTACGGCATCCGCGGGAGGCTGATGGGGGCGGTGAAGCAGGTGCTGCACGCTGCACTGCACGAGCTGGGCTTCGTGCTCTCGCACAAGAACCGCATGGCCTACGTCAAACAGGTCCGCTGCTCCCACGCGCACGCTCACGCTGACGCTTCTGAGTCCACTTAAACGACACCCAGTCGTTCCTTTCCACCCTCTCCTAGGCCCCCTGCTCGGTCCCCTTCCCTCCACACCTCCTCCTCCTCCTCCTCCCATTGTTCCTCCCACCCCTTCCAGCCCCTCCTTCCCCTATCCCCTCTCGTCCTTCGCCCTAATTTCTCTCCTCAGTTCGCTTTTCCCAGAACTGAACGTTTCGGCCAGACCACGTTGCTGTATCATTTGTCTGATGCTTTGCGTATTTGGTGGTTAGGTAGGCCACATCACACCTGACCTGACCTTGTAATTCTCGTTCTCTTCCCCTTCCTTGCGACATGTTTCATGCATTCTCAATCTCTCCCTATCCTCTCCATTGCCATTCCTGTCTGTCCCCCTTCTTTCCATCCCCAAATCTTCATCACGCCCTCTCCCCACACCACCGCCTCGGCGGCAGGAGCAACAGAACACAACACACCCGTGATACCTTTTTCGAGCCTCAGTGCATGCGAGAGAACGATACATGAAAAATTCGGGGCGGAGGGAAGCCAAATCGTCACCCTACCAAAAACCCCCTCGCCCCACACCACCCCCTCCCACCTGGCAGGAGCTACACCACACGCCTCTGCACCTGCTACGAGCCTCAGTGCACGCGAGAGAACGATACATGACAGAGACAGGGCGGCGGGAGGCCAAGGTATGGCCCATATGCAAGGCGCAGGCGTGCATGTTTCTAGACGAGCTGAAGGTGCCTGTGCCTGCTGCTCTCCTGCTTCCGTCCGAAGGCGGCAGCTGGGTAGCCCCTGTTGGGTGGGGTGATCCGAGGCGTGTGAGAAAGAGGATCAGGGGGAGGAGGAGTCGGGCTGCGGAGAGAAGGGCACGTGGGACGGGGGGAGTGGGGGACGGGACGGGGGGGAGTGGGGGGGGTGGGGAGGGATTAGAGAGTAGGGGAGAGGAGGAGGAGGAGGAGGAGGAGGAGGAGGAGGAGGAGGAGGAGGAGGAGGAGGAGGAGGAGGAGGAGGAGGAGGAGGAGGAGGAGGAGGAGGAGGAGGAGGCGGTGGAGGAGGAGGTGGAGGAGGAAGAGGAAGAGGAAGAGGAAGAGGAGGAGGAAGAGGAGGAAGAGGAAGAGGAGGAGGAAGAGGAAGAGGAGGAGGAAGAGGAAGAGAAGGAGGAAGAGGAGGAGGAAGAGGAAGAGGAAGTAAAGGAGGGAGACGAAGAGGAGGTGGTGGAGTTTCCACTGCGTGAGAGAAGGGATGCGAGGAGGAAAGGCCGGCAGCAGCAGACGGGTGTTGCAAATTCAGAGAATCCAGAGGGCTTACCTTCTTCCAGAGGACGTGCCGCTTGGAAGGAGGGGAGGGAGAGAGGTGCGGATGGAAAGGAAGAGATGGAGGAGGCACAGGAGGAAGAGGAGGGAGAGGAGGGAGAAGAGGGAGAGGGGGAGGGGAACGAAGAGATTGGACAGATGGGTTTGGGAAGGGGTGTGAAGAGGAGGAACAAGCAGCTAAAGGGGCGTGAAGGGCATGGCAAGGGGCGCTTTGCTGGGAAGATTTCAGAAGGGAAAGGTAGGGATGGTAGAGAGGAGGTGGACGAAGAGGCAGGAACAAAATGTCTTACGAAGGATGTTAGGAGGGCGAAGAGGATTAGGAGGGCTGAGGAGGCAACAGGGGGTGTGAGCAGCGTCGGTAGGGAGGTTGGTGGTGGTACTGATCAGCGTGGTGCCACTGATGATGAGGTTCGGCATGGAGGCATGGCCGCTGGCATGGATCACATGTCTACTCCAACCATCCCCACCATCCCCACCATCCCCACCGCCCCTCACATGCTTCCTCCCCCATACGCCCCCCGCCCTCCACCAACCCACAGCGTACCCCCCAACACTCCGCCTCTCCCACACATGCCCGGTGTATCCACCCCACTCCAGCTCTCCGTCCCACCCCCACCCCCCACTGGCTCCTGTGTGCTCCTGCTGAGGCACGCTCGAAGCAACGTGGCTGCTATTGTGGAGGGAGCAAAGGCGAGTATGGCTGCGATGGTGGAGCCTCTGACTGCGGAAGAGGAGAAGCAACGGGAGGAGCATGCGAGGGAGCTGTGGGCTATAGTTGACTGGGTGAAGGGGAAGACGCACAGGTTGGTGGAAGATATGAAAGAGCAGATGGAGGAGGAGTTGAGGAAGTTCATGGAAATTGCGCGGGAAAAGGTGAGGAGGAGTATAGAAAGGCGAGCGGCTATACGCAACAGCCGTGCTGCTGCTGCTGCTGCTGCTGCTGCTGCTGCTGCTGCTGCTGCTGCTGCTGCTGCTGCTGCTGCTGCTGCTGCTGCTGCTGCTGCTGCTGCTGCTGCTGCTGCTGCTGCTGCTGGTGCTGGTGCTGCTGGTGCTGCTGTTGCTGCTGGTGATGGTGGTGGTGGTGATGGTGGTGGTGGTGGTGGTGGTGGTGGTGGTGGTGGTGATGGTGCGGGTGATGGTGGTGGTGATGGTGGTGGTGGTTCTGGAGCTGGTGGTGCTGGTGGTGGTGATGGTGATGTTGTTGGTGGTGGTGGTGGTGGTGGTGGTGGTGGTGGTGGTGGTGGTGGTGGTGGTGGTGGTGGTGGTGGTGGTGGTGGTGGTGGTGGTGGTGGTGGTGGTGGTGGTGGTGGTGGTGGTGGTGGTGGTGGTGGTGGTGGTGGTGGTGGTGGTGGTGGTGGTGGTGGTGGTGGTGGTGGTGGTGGTGGTGGTGGTGGTGGTGGTTCGGGTGGTGGTGTTGGTGATGTTGCTGGTGGTGCAGGTGGTGAAGGTGCTGCTGGTGCGGGTGGTGCTGGTGGTGCAGGTGGTGATGTTGCTGGTGGTGGTGGTGGTGGTGATGATGTTGCTGCTGCTGGTGGTGGTGATGGTAGTGGCAGTGGTAGTGCTGCTGCTGATGGTCATGTTAGTGGTGATGGTAGTGGTGGTGGTGGTGGTGCTAGTGGTAATGGTGGTGCTTGTGGTAATGGTAGTGCTAGTAATGGTGGTGCTAGTGGTACTGTCACATATATAGGCGCATGCCTATGATAAGCGCATGTGCTTCTATCTGGATCACTCCACTTAGGTATATCCGGTCTGGCCTTCAACTAAAAGCACAGTGTTACTATTAAAACCGAAATGCAAAATAGTGAACCCAAACCCAACTTGAAAGAGCGCAGGGACGAGTTTGCCGGGCGAGACAAATTTTGGACCGGACTGACAAGTTTGTACCGTTTCAAACACCGCGGACGTGCAAATCCAACACCTTTGATTGGTTCCCGCCTGTTGGGCTGAAAAACCCTTAGGATCTTTGCAGGGGTGAACTCTGGGTAGAGTTGGTGTAGTAGCGGAAGTGTTAATTAAAGGGTTGTGAACCACCTTGCGCTAGTATGTGAGGGCAAAGTAAGTTGATTAAAACAGGTGGATACAGGTTTATATACCGTCACCCCCCGGATATAAGCGCCACCCTAGGATAAGCGCCTGGCGCTTCTAATTGGCATATGGCGCTTATATCCCCTGCTCGATTATAAGCGCACCCCCTGAAAAAACTTGTTTTATTATAAGCGCACGTAAACTTATTTTTTTGAAATGTGTTCAAAACGCTTTAACGATTTCTACTTTAGCAGGCAGATGTTTTGCAGATTCGGTTCCCTTCACATTCGGACCCTGCACTGGATTCGGGTCCAGTCAGTAGGAGCTGTCATGAGCTGTCAGGAGCTGGATGTGAGTCAGATTGGGTGTACCTCCCTGCGCGCGCGAGAATTTCACAGACGACCCCATGTAACTTCGTCTCGATTGAAAAGGCAAGCACGAGATCTACAGCATGGTGTTCAAAAATATATAAAAACATATATGTCATTTTATAAACGCCGGCGCTTATAAATTTACTCGATTATAAGCCCACCCCCCTAAAAAAACCTGCTTTATTATTGCCCCCCATGGGGGTATTGTCAGAACATATATGTAGCTTATGTTGTTGTGTAGGCTACAGTGGGGTATACCATAGGGGGTACAACCCAATAAGGGTTTTGCTATTTGTACTCACTTCACTCATAGTTCATTCATTCTCGTTCTATTTTCCACATGGTATCGAGCAGGTTCCCCCGTGGGAACTGTGCTTAGGGCCCACCACTTTTAAACTTTTTTTTTCTGCCCGGAGCGCGCTCCGGGCCCTCGCTCTCACTCTTTCGGCCTGCCCTGCGGCCCCCTAGCCGCCCGCGCGCGCCCGTTCCGGCCCCTAGCCGCTCGCTCGCCGCCCGTTCAGGCCCCTAGCCGCCCGCGCGCCGCCTGTCCCGGCCCCTAGCCGCTCGCGCGCCGCCCGTTCAGGCCCCTAGCCGCCCGCGCGCCGCCCGTCCCGGCCCTTAGCCGCCCGCGCGCCGCCCATCCCGGCCCCTAGCCGCTCGCGCGCCGCCCGTTCAGGCCCCTAGCCGCCCGCGCGCCGCCCGTCCCGGCCCCTAGCCGCCCGCGCGCCGCCCGTCCCGGCCCCTAGCCACCCGCGCGCGCCCGTCCCGGCCGCGCTCTCCTGTCTCGGCCCCTCGGCGCCAGGACGCCGCCCGTCCTGGCCCCTCACCCGTCCCGGCCTCACACCGCCCGTGCGCCACCCGTCCCTGCTGCACGCCGCCGTCCCGGCCCCCCCCACGCCAAGCGTTAGCCGCCGTGCAGCCTGAGCCGCCCGAGCCGCCCGAGCCGCCTCCCCCCCCCCCCCCCCTTTTCCCGTCGCCCGTCGAGGCTCCTTCGGGGGCCGCGAGGCCAGCTGAGGGGTGGCAGGTGTGTGGTCTCCCCTGCTTCTCCTCCTCCTTCGTCTCGAGCCGCCCTGCAGCCGAGCCGCCTCGCCGCCGAGCCGCTCTACACCCGAGCCTCCCAGCAGCCGAGCCGCCCTGCAGCCGAGCCGCTCTACACCCGAGCCTCCTAGCAGCCGAGCCGCCCTACAGCCGCGCCGCCGGGTCGCCGAGCTGCCGAGCTGCAGTTGCTGCCGAGCCGCCCTGCCGCCAAGCCGCCCGAGTCGCCCGAGCCGCAGAGCCGCCGTGCTGCCGAGCCGCTGAGTCGCCGAGCCTACTCTACCCACCACTGATGCGGCCCCATCGACGTCTGCGTGAGTCCCTCACGCCCCAGCAGCTGCGTGAGTGGTACACTGGTTGGGGCTGTAGGGGTGGTGGCGCTACTACTGCTACCACTCCTGCTGCTTCTACTACTAGTGGCGGTCAGATGCAACTCCCGCGACCCCCCCGCGCGTCTCTCACGCCTCAGCAGCTTCGTGAGTGGTACGCTCAGAGTAGAGGGTCTCTCAGTTCTGTTCGCTGCTCTTACGTGATTCTCACTGGTGCTCGGACTCGTCAGCCTTGTGGGACACCTGGTCATACACAGTCCCGCTGCTTCGCCCGTCTGAGCGACGCCTGGCGTACCGTGTTTGGCGACGAGGGTGAGCTCCCCGACTGGGTGGAGTTGCCGCCGCCGCCGGCCCAGCTACAACCCGCCCCGGCCCCGCTACAGCCCGCCGTCGGCTCGCCGTCGGCCCTGCTACAGCCCTCCCCGCGGCCCCTACTGCAGCCCGCCGTGCTGCACGTGAGCAGCCCCAGCAGCCCGCGCCGCCCGTGAGCCCCTACGCCACCCGAGCCGCCCGAGCCGCCCGAGCCGCCTGAGGAGCCATGCTGCTGTTCCTGAGCTGTGTTCCTCTGCTGCTGACCTACCCGACTCTCCCAGCCCGGTGAGACTTTCAGCTGCTGCCATGGCCACCCCCAATGTTCTTACTTTTGACGCTGAGGGGAGGGCCATTGACTTTGCCGTCTGGATTGAAGACCTGCAGCTGTACTTACTGTGTGATGCGATAGATGAGGTCTCTCTCTTTGACTTTGTCTCTGGCGCTGTCCCTGCCCCACCTGCTGATGCTGACTCTGCCGTTCGCTCCAAGTGGGCGACCCGCGATGCTGCTGCACGTCTTGCTGTGCGTCGCCACCTCCCTTCCTCTGAGCGTGCCCACTTTAGTCAGTGCAAGACCGCTCAGGCCTTGTACGACGCTGTAGTTGCACGCTACTCCTCCCCTTCCTCCGCTACCCTTAGCCGCCTCATGCTACCGTTTCTCTTCCCTGACCTCGCTTCCTTTCCCACTGTCGCTGACCTCGTTACCCACCTCCGTGCTAGTGACACCCGCTACCGCGCTGCCCTTCCTGCTGAGTTCCGCGCTGCGAACCCTCCTCCCATGTACATCACTCTCTACTTTCTCGTCACCCGTCTCCCTGAGTCCCTTCGTGTCGTTAGGGACCAGTTTCTCTTTGTCTGTCCCACCACTCTCACTGTCGACCTCCTTGAGGAGTCCCTGCTAGCGGCTGAGAAGAGTATTGTTGCTGTAGGGGCCTCTCGGGGTGACCCTCGCACCCCCATCTTTGAGGGGTGTGGTCCTTCCCCCCTGCTGCCCTCTGTCGCCTCTGCCGCTGCGGCCGACCTCACTGGTTTTGAGTCGGTCGGCGCGGCGTCTGCCCCCAGCGGCAGACGCCGCTCTGGCAAGGGCAAGGGGGGCAAGGGAGCGGGTGGAGCTAGAGGGGGCGGTGGAGGAGGCGGTGGGGGTGGCGGGGGGAGTGGGGGTGGCGGTGGGGGTGGTGGCGGGAGTGGAGGTACTGGTGGCGGCGGTGGAGGCGGAGGTGGCGGCGGAGGTGGTAGCGGAGGAGGCGGTGGGAGCGGTGGGAGCGACGGTCCTGGTGGGGGAGGTGGCGGTGGAGGCGGGGGTGGCGGTGGAGGCGGGGGTCGGAGTGGCCCGTCCCAGCGGAGCAGCTCTGGGGGTGGTCAGCGCCAGCAGCAGCAGCAGCAGCAGCCGCAGCAGCAGCCACAGCAGCAGCAGCGCTCTCGCACCGTCCCCGGCCCTCAGCAGCTCCGTGAGTGGTACTTGCAGCGTCAGCGTGGTGGTGCGCTTGGTCCCTGCCCCTACGTTCTTCGCACCGGTGACCGTGCTGGGGAGAGGTGTGGAGGCGCCCACACAGCCCGCCGGAGCTTTGGCCGCCTGACCGACGCCTGGCGTCAGCAGTTTCCGGAGGCCGCTGAGATCCCCCGCTGGGGAGAGCTGTCTAGGGCTGGTGTAGCTATTTATGATCTTGATTTTGATGCTATTCTCTCTGCTATGTATGCTGTGACTGGTAGTGATGAGGATGACTGTTACCGGTGTTTCCCGCCCGACCCGGGCATTGGTACTGCCGCGTCAGGTACTAGTGAGGCTGCTGCTCTAGGTGCCAGTGCGTCTGTGCTCTCAGGTGCTGGTGAGTCTGCCCTCTCAGGTACTGTGTCGGCTTCGGCCTCTCACACCTTCACCCTTGACTCTGGAGCGTCTCGCTCCTTCTTTAGGGACCGCACCACTCTCACACCGCTGAGTCGGCCGGTTGCGGTGTCCCTGGCTGACCCCTCTGGGGGGCCTGTCCTGTCTCGCTTCTCCACTGTCCTCCCGTGTCCGGCGGCCCCCTCTAGCACCCTGACTGGTCTCTACCTCCCCTCGTTCTCGACGAACTTGGTGAGTGGTGCTGACCTCCAGGATGCGGGTGTCCACCAGTTCACCCCTGCTCGTCAGCGGGTGACCCACTGCACGGAGGCGGATACAGGTCGCCACCTGGCTACGTTTACACGTCGGCCAGGGTCGAGCCTGTACACACTGACCACTGCTTCTCCTCCATGTGCTACGTCTGGTAGGGTCCCTTCAATTGGTCAGGTGTTTGCTGCAGCGTCCAGGTCTGGTCCTGAGTCTGCCCCCTGCTCGTATCGTCGTCTGTCTCACGAGACCCTCCTCTGGCACCACCGCCTTGGCCACCCCTCTCTGCTTCGGCTCAGAGGCATGGCCTTGCGAGTCCTTGTGTCTGGTCTTCCCCGGTCTCTCCCTCCCCTTCCTCCGGGCCCTGGCCCTACCTGTGTCCCCTGTGTCGAGGGGCGCCAGCGTGCTGCCCCTCACTCCTCCCAGTTTCCTCCGACAGAGGCCCCGTTGTAGACGCTTCACATGGACGTGTGGGGCCCAGCCCGCGTCCGTGGACACGGTCAGAAGCGCTACTTCCTGCTGGTGGTTGACGACTACTCGCGTTACACCACAGTCTTCCCCTTGCGCAGCAAGGGTGAGGTCACTGAGGTGTTGATCGACTGGA